AGAATTTATTTGAGCTGCTGCTGTATGTCAAAATCATGAACAATGCTTGTGTAAATCCCCTATTGCTGCTATAACAAATCACCACAAACTTAGTGACTTAAAGCAACACAAATTTATTATAGTTCAGCAGGTCCAAAATGGGTTTCCCTGGATCAGCAAGGCTGCCTTACTTCTGGAAGTTCCAGGGAAGAGACTGTTTCCTTGCCTTTTCCAGATTCGAGAGGCCATCTGCATTTTTAGGCTTTATGAAAGAGTGTGCGATGGTTCCTTTGTAATGTCACACACACACACACCCAACATGGTCGACAAACAAACACATAATTTTGTTTTTCTGAAGCCAAACTGGTTTAGTTGATTTTTGTATCTTGGAGTTGAGGATGGGGGGAAGGCAAGCATCCATTTATGTGTATCCTAATATATTATCACAATATTCCAGCCAGTATTTGGTATATTCTCTTCAGTGGTTATCGACTTTTAGAATCATGAAATTGCAAATTTGTAAAAAAAATTTTTTTTTTAAGATTTTTATTGGGGAATTGGGGGGATTGGAACAGTGCTGGGGAATTGGGGGAAGAGGAACAGACAAGTTGCTGTCGTTTTGTTCCCCAATCCAGTTGTGGAGGACGTTGCTTCACTGGCCCAAGTTGGCACCATCATTGCGTACTTCCCAGGCGAGGCAGATCAGTCGCCGGTTTCTGGACGGCTGCTCACGGCGGCTGCTGGCTGCTCACACTGGCTGCTGGCTACACACGGTAGCCCATGGCAACCCACTGCAGCACGGGCTGCAGCCTACGTCGTCACCAGCGACTCACAGCAGCCCAGCTCCAGGTCGAGCTGTTGTTCAGCATCTTAGCTGTGGAGGGCAGTGTCACTGGCCCTCATATGTGGGATCCGAACCGGGGCCCTCTGGCGTCCCAAGCCAGTTCTTAACCATCGCGCCACTCGGCCAGCCCGTAAAAAATTTTTTAGGTCGCCCAGTTTATCCTACTACTCAGAGAGCATCCTCCACAACACAGCCTCTGAAACTTAATATGCGCATTAATCATCAGGGGCCTTGTGAAAGAGGCAGATTCTGATTCAGTGGGTCTGGGATAGGGCCTGAGATCCTGCATTTTTAATACAATCCCAGGAAACTGCCAGTCTAGAGATCACACTTTGAGTAGCTGTGTTCCTGAGCATTCCTGACAGATATCGCTGCCTTAGGGATGAGACCGTTACAGTCTCTTCTTTGTATTTTGGTGATTTCAACTGTCACATACAGAAACCAGTCATTCATGGATCACAACCAAATAAATTTAAAAAAAAAAGAAAAAAAAAATATATATGAAATGTTTCTGATTTTTTTTAAAAGATAAACCAAAATGACATTGCAATTGAAGGGAACTTTTCAAAATTGAATGGGAATACAGGATCTGAAGAGTCTGACATTAAATATGTGTGTGTGTTTTATATCTCTGTATAATTTCTACATATTAAAGAATACAATTGGGAAAATCCCAAGTTATATAATACTATTTTGTGGCAGCACTGACTCAACCCTAACATATTTCCTTTACATTAATTTTCATAAGAAAATTAAAAATTGAAGGATATAGAGGAGCTCCTTCTAGTTGCTGGGTCGGGTGCTGCCTGATTCATGAATCGCTCAGTAAAGCCAATTAGATCTTCAAGTTTACTTGGTTGAATTGTTTTTTTTAGTTATTGTTCCTATTTTTTTTAAATCCCTCATAGCTCATCCATATTTAATGCCTTCATCTTTCCCCTGCGTTTATTTTCATGTTGGTCCTGACATTCCTATCATTATCTTCTCATCTTGCTTCACTTCATTTTTCTTTATACTGCACATATTACTACCTGAATACTATTTATACTTTATTTTGGTCTCTCATCTTTAGAAGACAGAGCTTTTGATTACTGTTGATTTCTCAATGCTCAGAACAATGTGTGGTACACTATAGGCTGTCAATAAAACTTTAAATGAAAAAATAAAATTGAAGGGTATAAATTTGGACTGTCCTATAGATAAAGCATGAGTCTAAATGTAATGTTGCCAGCCTTTCTACATTAAGGAAACCAATAGCCAGTTTCAAACATTGGTTGAATAGAATTAAGTTGAAGCGATCCATGTCACTCTCTCTAACTTGAAAGCTAGTTACTGGTTTTAATATTTAAATTTAGTTACTGCATATACTGATCACCTTAATTCTTATTTAATATTTAAAAGTTATTACTTTGGAGAAAGCTAAGCAATTGTGATTATAGTGTATCAAAATCCATTGTAAGTGATTATTTTAATGACTCTGTAGCAACAGGAACACATAGACATTCAAACAAAAAGCAACCTAATTATAATGACAGCACCGAAGTGAAGCTGTGACAGTTACAAAACCAATTCTAAAGTTTTTTGACAGCCATGCCTAAAAGCTTTGTTTGGACCTTTCGGTAATAACAATTTACTTAAGACATAAATCTACAGCTAAGGAAAATAGAAAGAGAAAGTTGTGGCTTTTGTGTCATGCAGATAAAATGGAAATCAGTTGAAATGTTTTTAATAGAGCATTTTATTGAAGAGTATAGAAAAGGAATCATAGTTATGAAATTTAACTTTCATGATGCAAGAAAGACTAAACAATGAAAATTCTAATGAGAATAGAAACTTGTCAGCTGATTTGCTTATCTGTGTTATGAAGGTCAGTAGTTCCTGCAAGTAAATCGATGTGCATTTAAATATGTTGATTGGCAGTTCTGGAATTTGATTTTGTATTACCTCTAAAATAGAGTCAAAGGCAAATGGATGTAAGAATGCACCAATAGCGATGGTGACACGAAACCTTACTAAATAATCTGCTTTTCCAATGGCTCTGTCATCCATCTCTCAAATTATTAGACCATATCTCGCTTGGTTGTGGACTCCATCAAATATACAACATAATTAATTCTTTGACCTTGGGCAACTAATTTCTCATTTCTGAACAGAAAAATACCTGATTCACAAAATGGCACTTATTTTTACTGCATATCTTTATAGAACACTTAAAATATGCAAGCACTGTTCTAAGCCCTTTACGGATATTTACTTATTTAAAATTATAACCTTTCAAGGAGCCACTATTATCTTCGCTTTACGGATGAGAAAACTGAGGTACAGAGAGGTTTAAGTAGCTTTCCTAGGGCCACAGAACTCATAGGTGGTGGGTTTCAGCTCCGCGCAATTTGTCTCAGAGCCCACGCTGTTACTTAATGAGTACTGCAGGGTAAGGGAGGCCACGTGAAATCACGTGGGGATCCACAGAGACAGCGCTCAGAGGCACTGCTTTTTCTCTTTTCCATGCTCAGGTTCTGCTATTGAGCTTCTTTTAGTTGCAAAGATGGAAGAAGTCTCAGTTCAGATCAGATGTTAAGGATATATGGCCCTATGTCCTGAGAAGAAATAAGGGCTCAGAACAGGGCTGCATGGCGGTGCTAGTCCCAGGGCAGTGGGCACCAAAGTATGTGACTCAGTGGTTTGTTGTTATGCGCTCAGCTTCTTTCCACAGGTCAGCTCATCACCTCCTTTTACTGCCCAGGGCCTTCAGCCTGCACTCTCTTCTTTAATATATATTTCTATCCCACAGCAGACAGTGGGACCCAGAATGGACTTCAAATAGACTGGTTGGGTACAGAGCCCAGCTCTGCCGTGTACTTGCTGTCTGACCTCAGACAAATGACTTAATCTCTCTGAACTCACTGGAAATAGTGAGTAACATATCTCACCATATAGGTCTATGGTGGGTATAAAAGAGATAAAATAAATAACATACTTACAGTATGGCCTGGAACATAGTAAACACCCAATACATGGTAGCCATTATAATAATAGTCCTAATTTGAGAATGCCTAATTATCACTTCAATGTAGGCAATAGATTTGGACCAGCCTTGGCTCCAAATTATGATTATACCTTCAAAACTTATGAGACAGCGAGAAAGTTATTTCACCTCTCTGCATCTCAGTTTTCATCTTCATAAAATTAGAGTAACTTTCTAGAGCTGTTATGACATGAAATGAGTAATTTATGTAAAGCACCTACAACAGCTCCAGGTACATAGTAAGTATACATATAGACATCAGTTATTATTAATTGTAGTATAGTTTTCAATAAATTATTTGTGCAGTGCATTCAATTATGTGATATAAGTAAGTTCTGGAGATCTATACAGCATAATGCCTATAGCTAACAATACTGTACTGTACACTTAAAATTTGCTAAGAGGATAGATCTTATGTTAAGTGTGCTTACCACTGATAATACTACTACTACTAACAATAATAATAATAATAAGAGAGGCAGGAGGAAACTTTGGGAGTTGATGGGTAAGTGTATGACCTTGATGGTGGTGATAGATCCATGGGTGTATGCTTATCCCCAAGCTCATTGAGTTGTATACATTCAATATGTACAGCTTTTTTATTTTATGTCAATCATACCTCAATAAAGTGGTTTTAAAAATAAATTACTAAAAGAGCTATTTAAATAAATAATTTATGGAAGTAATGAAGTAAAAAAATAAATAGATCTTAGGTTTCTCTTACTTTTCCAGTTTTATGATCATCTCTAAAACATTTTCATCTGTGGTAGCTTTTTCTCTTAACAGAATAAAGTAATACTTGTTTTGTGGTATCAGCTTTTACAAATCATTTTTCCATATAGTTAGTATTAAGGATAAAAACTACCTAACTAAACAATGAAAATGAAGATACAAGCTGTCCACAAGTTAAGTGAAATATGTTTTCCATTTTGAACCCAAAGTCTCTGAAACTATCTCCTCAGTCATTTTTGAGCTGCCCCCAAACCCAAGATTGCTATGCTAAGACTCTTTGGCAGGGACAGACTTTCACTGAGTTATCTTAGGATAGGCAGCATGTCACAAAGATGGTTCAGGGCCAGGTCTAAACACATAATTGTGTTTAACTGCCAGGTTTATTGCTTTGTTAAAAGTTCATCTTTTTTGCCTCCTCAGCAAATGATGCGGTCATCAGTTTTCCACATGTTCATCCTGAGCATGGTGACGGTGGATGTGATAGTAGCTGCCAGCAACTATCACAAAGGAGACAGCTTCCGAAGGCAATACGACGAGTTCTATCTTGCAGAGGTAAGCTGCTCCCTGAGGTGGACCTCAGCTAGTGCCTTTCATAAATGGAAAAATCAATTTCAATTTGTTAATTACTTGAGTTCAAACAAAGCTGCTTCTTCAGTGTTTCCCTTGGTCACTGTGTTGCCTGATTCATTCCCTGTCTCCATGGGCCTGAGTATCTTCCCCACAGTGTGTTGCATTGCCAAGGTAACCCTCTGCCCTGGGTGTTTCTCTTGCCATCTTGTTGTTCTCCTATCCACCTCTCGTTTTCTCTCCTTTTGTCATGTTGCATTACTCTGTTTCCCTTCCCACTAAGTGTAAGCAAGCATAGATTGAGAAGATTGTAAACAAGTAAGTCAGAGCTCGACAGTACCAAGGACAGGGCTGGAGGGAAATTGAAAGCGATAATACAATCATTTCTATACTAGAAACTGAGCTGTTACAGCCTGCACTAATGGTGTCAAGCCAGGCTCAGATAGATTTAGTGATTAAATAAGCATCTTCTAGAACCCTACATACCCACTAGAGTTTTAGAATAGTACTTCTTATTGATTCAGTAACTTTGTTAATATTTGATTTTTAAATATTTTTAATAATTTCCGGAGACAACTGTTTTTTCCATTGTGAAAAATTATTTCTAAAATATATCTCAGAATTCATTGGTTAAGTATTTATGGAAAAATTGATTGACATATAACTCTTTAGAAACCCATTCATCATGTAAGAGAGGTATACATATACTATTATAAATCCAATATATGAAAAAGTAAACTTAAAAGCAGAAAAATTACACTGTGTTTATTTTTATTACAAAAGAATTTTTCACATAAAAAAATCTATTTGCCATAAAGTTGAGTTCTCAGATATCAAAAAGTATTCCAGTACATTTAAAAATGGATTTGGTCAATAAAATTTCTATCCACCCACATATAAACCTTACAGAAAAAGTGGCATACTCCTGTTGAATATAAACATCTATTTGGTATCAATCAACGTTTTAAGAAGTCACTTGTTAATTCCCCTCTTCACGGAGGCTTCTTTCCTGTAACAAAGTATCATTAGCACTAAACTTTCACTGAAGTTAGACTTTGTGATGGGACACTGCCTAATTGCTTCAAGGTATATGGAGCTTACAGTTCAGCAAGAAATATAGACAATAAAAAAATAACAAGTTTTTTATGCTGTGGAAAACCAATTACAGGGGCTCATGAAGAAATTATATCCAGCCTAACAATTGGTATAATTTTGCTGCAAAACCAGCACACAAAGAATAGATTGTCATTAAAAGCAGAGGGAAACATAGACCAATAGTAATATTTGCAGGTGACTTTCTAATGCAAAGATTGGATGTTGAAGAAATCTCTATCAAGTGATTTCTATCTGTCCTGTGAAGTAGGATGCAAGGTCTACCTCCAGTAGGAAGCTTGTGGAGAAAAGAGAAAAGTGGGTACGACCTGTGGAAAATGCACAAAAGCTAATTAAAGATACATCAAATGCAATGCTGAAGATCCAGCTGAATTTTGAGACTGAAAATTTATAGTGATACCAGTTTAGACAGGTCTGTGATATTTTAGGCCTTACATGAAGGAGAGAAAAGCAACAGTTAGATTGACCCAGCTTTAGAGCTTTTTCAGGTAGAGATGAAAGACAAGGGATCAGGGGGCATGGGTGGCTGGCAAAGGAGTTGAGATGGTGACCCTGTGTCTGGGTCAGATATGAAAAGAAGTGAAAATAAGAGGAGGATGAAAGAACAAAATGAAGTATCAAGTGTCTCAGTGGTCAAAGAACAGGTATAGTTGAAGTGATGGAATAAGAGAGCTAGAAGGTAAGATTGTGATCAGAGCGGGATCCAGGATTTAGAATTTTAGAATAATCCTCGGTAACTAAATACAAAATCTAGGGTGTTATAAGGATGTGGGTGGCTTAAGCATAATGATGGAGTTGAGACAGAAATGGCAAGGAACTGTCAAGCAAAGGTGTGGCTGAGCCTTCACAATGACATTGAAGTCATTCAGCGTGAGACCAGTTCTTGGGGGAAAGAGGGTAGGCAGGACCACGTGGGAGTAACTGATACATTAATCGAAGGCTGCCCCAGGGAGAGTGTTGGAAGAGGATGTTTTAACCTCATGGACTACATCTCAAAGGGGTGTTGAGGAGTAATGAATGGGGCATCTTTTCCTCATCCACATAGTATCTTGCATGGGCCATATGGAACACTGGAGCATGGGCAACCTCTTCTCAAAAGGACTGTAGGGGAAGTTATGCATTTGGAGCACAATCAGTTGAGACAAGGACACAGGAAGAAGATTCTGTGAGCAGAAGCAGAGAATGTAGAAGAAATTGGTTAACATGGAATAAGAGACCCAAGGGTTAGTTAAAGGCTTTAGGTGGAATGAGGTGAGGAAGTAGGTGAGATGGAAAAATGATACAATAGTATTAGAACCAAAGGTTAATGGACTGATGACAAAAATGCCTAGGAATAAAAAACAGAAATGGCTACATGTGATTGAGATTATGCATTATGCCAGTCTCTCTGGACGGAACAATCTATACCTGCTCCTGAGGAAGTCCTGGATTACATTAACTTTCCTTTTGTAACCCAGTCAGTGGGTACTCAGTCATACTAAATCAATCTTGTAGAATAAATACATACACGTATGCCATTCACTGGGAATGGAATGCTCCAGTAAATTTTACCTAATTTTTTCACATACAAAAATCAATCTCTTTTCTAATGTGTTTATGTGTATTAGCTGATTTAATAGTCATGCTTTAAGAAATTCCACCAAATTTTCAAATAATTTAGCATTGTAGAGTTCATTGATACTATTTACCGTATTTGCCGGCGTATAAGACGATTTTTTGGCCCTGAAAAATATGCCTCCAAGTGGGGGGTCATCTTATACGCCAGGTACACTTCAGATAGACTGCCCTGCCACTCAAAATACAGACAAACTCTGTATTTTGAGTGGAAATGTTAGGGGGTCGTCTATACGCCCAGTCGTCTTATACGCCGGCAAATACGGTAAGTGCATTAGTAGAGTCCAGTGGTGGTAGATAAATCCTTTTCATTTTTCTTTTCTGTATGTAGTATTAATTTTTTTTCTAATTAAAAAAAGCAGACACAGGATTATATAGCAGAATCTAGTATATATTGTGTATGTTAATTGTTGCCCCCTTTTCAAACCACTGGAAATGAATTTGAATTTAATAAACTGGATAGTAGAGATGTATTGGGTCGTCGGGAAAGTCATGATGCAATTTTTGCATTGAAAAACATAGAAAAATACGTCATGATTTTCCCGATGACCCAATAGTTCAATTAATTATATAGACATCACTATATTCTTGAACTACCAAAACATTCAGAATTTATTACACTTCTGTCAATTGATTTGGGGCATCTGATTTTTCCAAAGAATGTTTGGTCTTTATTCAAATTACATGATCACTTCTTGTATCAGAAAGTTGAGCATGAGTCAAAGTGGTTTGTTCCAAATGAGCGTGGAGAAGTCATTTAATCAAGCACAATTTTTTATAAAATACTCTCTCTTTAAAAAGTTTATAAAGATGGTTTGAGTTTAAGCTAATTGGTCCACAAACTTCCTTGAAGAGCCAGATAGTAAACATTTTAAGCTTTCCAGGCCACATGCTCTCTCTGTCACCTCTACCACTGCTATGCAAAAGTGAGTGTGGCCTCAGAATGGTTGTATTACAGTAAAACCTTATTTACAAAAATAAGCTGTGAGCTCCATCTTGGTTTAAGCTGTAGAAACACAGCAGGTCAACTAACATCCCCTTGTGTTAAATTTAAATATAATAATACTAATAACAATAATAGCTACCAATTTTTTGGAGGTTCTATTATGTTGCCAAGTGCTTTAAAGGAATTCATTATCTTATTTAATCCTCAAAATGGCTGTAATAACAGCAATTCAAGTTTATGGACTATAATGATACAGAATTTAAGGCAATAGCATTATGTAAGATTTTAGAAAGTTTCTTTTTAAAAAGATTACAAAAGGCCATGAGCTTTTAGAGGACTAATTCCTTGATTTCCCATGTATTCCAAATAAATTATTTTGAAAATCCAAAATAAACCACTCAACCCATTAAGAGTAAACTTGCAGTCTAAAAAACATCCTTTAAGCATAAATTAAGCTGCTTAGCTTTTGTTGTGAAGCTGGGGACTTTTCTTACTTTGGATTAATTAACCTAAATTTAGAATTAGTTAAAAAACAGGAAAAACTCTGTTTTTTAGGCTATGCATAAACATAAAAAGGTGAAGATTTATTTTCCTTTGTAAGAGTTTTCATTTTGATCTAAGATAATATATTGTTATTAATATAATGTTATACATAAAATCACATTTTTATAAGGAACATAATTATATTTTTAAATGTGTATTCTCATTTTTTTCCTAAATAAAAAAACTTTAATACTTTTCTATTGTTATATAAAATATGTAAATAGTTCTGTCTATAGACTAGACTGTACATTTAACAGAAATTAAGCAGCACATTGTTATGCATAGAAGATTAACAATTTTAGCAAAAGTCCTCTTTTAAGACACTCACAAACTGATGGGAGAGATAGAACAACAAAGCAAGCCGTACTAACAGCGTAGTTCTAACAAAGTGTGTCCTGCCGCATTTCTGGTCAAGAGACACGTTTACCTTGCTTAGAACTCCAGGATGTGTCTGTGGTTACCGATTCTTCTATGATTGCTATGTGTTGGAAACAGAAAAACTTTCAGAAAGTATGAACTCATTTTGCATCCTGCAGAAAGTCATCTTTTCTAGAAAAGTAATTTCTGTGTTCCTCTGAAGACATTTGGTTTTATGATATTTGTTAAAATGAAAGAGCCATTTATTTTCGTTCGAACAAAATCTGACACCCATATTTCAGCTCATTAATCACAAGAAATGACCAAATTAAGAAAGTAACTCATCTTGCCATAGCAGCAGTCTTTCATATTACCACTAAGTTTAATTTCATTTTCTGGGAAACTCTAATTA